TGTGGTCATAGCCAGGCCAGCAGCATTCCCCGAAAGCTGTGACTGCTCTTTAAAATGAAAGGAAGGGGAAGCCTTCGCCTTAGTAAAGAAGTTGGATTAATAGAGTTAGGAATGAAATAGCTGCCTACAGTTTGCTTAGTGATGGGGGGAATCATATTTTGGATTTTGGAGATTAAACCAAGAGTGTTTTTGTTCTTAAGTTACTTAAGATCTAAAACACAAAGGAAAGCACCTCACCAAAGGCCAAGAAATGTTCAGGACAGTCACATAATTCTCCTAGTATTAGTCTGTGGTGAGTTTATCCTGTGTGAGAAAAGTCATTGCATGTGTTGGTATTTGGCAGATTGCTTAGAGCAGTACTATCTGACAGAGATATAATATAAACCACATGTGCAATTTCAAATTTTTTAGCGGCTTCATTTAAAACAAGCTAAACAAACAGATGAAATTAATTTTAATAATGTGTTTAATTCAGTATATCCAAATATTTCTAAATGTGACTAGTTTTTAAGGAATTATTCAGGATACACCTATTTTCATTGCTTTTTATTAAGTCATTAAATCAAGGGCATTTTACACTTACAGCACTTCTCAATTCAGAGTTGTGTTTAGGGTATAGTTGTGGCCCGAGGTTAGTAACTACTGTTTCAGACTGGTAGTTTGAGAGTGGAATGCTGTGCTGTTTGCTGTGGGGCATTCTGAATACTGTCAGTCATTGTTGCTTGCATAATAAACCATTAAATGATTATTAGTTTTATTAGGACAATCAGTGACAGGCCATTCATTCAGTAACTATTGGTATTTTTTTTTTTTGAAGAAATACATTTTAGTGTCATGAACATGACTTAGTGAAAAGTATTAAAAAAATTAATGGCATTTTTCCTGTCTGAAAATGGCATTAATCCTCATAGTTTAGATAGAAAAGTAGGTACCATTGTTTGAGAGCTACATGTCAGACAGCTTAGATATATGCATAATTCTAGTCTCACAACTCAATGATACAGATATTATTATTGTTTGCATTTCAGCTAGGAGGATTTGGGCCTTAGAGAGGTAAGGAGTGACAGTGGTAGGATCTGACTCAAAGATCACCTTCCTCCTGCCCCGGCTTTTCATCACGTCTCATTGTTTTCCCACTCAGCTCATAGGGCTGGTGTGATGCAGCGGCAGTAACTACGGTTCTGTAACTACACACACTTCAGAAATAATGTCACAATGAAAATGGCAAGTTCAGCATCATAACAAGTGGGAAAATGCATTTTTCTAATGGAGTGACTTCTAGGTTTTTTTTTTTTTTTTTTGTCTGTGATGACAGAATACAGAACATGTCCCAATTGCCCAAATGAGTCTTGATTTTTGGCAAATGGCTGGGGCCGGAGTGCCTGTCCTCCAGATTAAACTACCTGCCTGCAATTGTAAAAGGCTTAACAAGGCTTATGATCAAAAGGTCCAAAGTTCTCTACTTGATCATCTGGAAATAGGTTCGTGCTACAATAAAAGGAAAATAATGCCCTAAGCTCAGATGCATGGCTGGAGCCTGGGTTTTCCTTTTATTTTCTCTTTCTCCTTGACCACTTGTAAATGCATTTAGGTTTACATTGCTGCTTTTTTATTAAGCTTTTTATTTTTAATTCTTCCCACTTAAATTTTTTTCTAAATGCCTCTCTATCTTTTTCTTTCATCTTTTGCTCAAGGAGAGTGGTGGAGCTAGTTGGGGAGCTGCTTCTTTTTGGAGTGTATATTTCTACTTATCTTTTCATGATTTGCTTCCCTTAGGGGTGTCCTATTGTAAAAGCTTTTTAATCCTATGCCTTAATTTTCTTCTTGACCTCAGTTTTGCTATTTTTTAATCTATATTATCATTAGTAATTGTATCTGTTTTTCTTGCCTTATCTTATAAAAATTGAGTTATTTTATTAGAAAAATCATGATTGTTAAATTGATCAAATTCTGGTAAAAGGTTAATTTTTCTAGCAGCTTATTATGATATTTTTATGTGCGTTGTGAGTGTATGTGTGTGTGTGTGCCTGTGAGGCTTGCCTCTTTGTGTGTGTGTGCGTGTGTGTGTGTGTGTGTGTGCGCGCGCGCATATGTGCATGCGCGAGCACACGTGTTTAGGCTAGAACTTGACATCGGATGTCCTCTATCGCTTACTTTTTTAGTCAAGGTCCCTCACTGAAGCTGGAACTTGCCATTTTGGCTGGGTTGGCTGGTGAGCGAGCCCTGGGAGCCTCCTGTCTCCTTGTTCCTTGCTGGGGTTACAAACTTGTGAGCCACTGCACCTGGCTTTTACATGGGTGCTGGGAACCTGAACATGGGTCGTCAGTGCATAACAAAAACTTTATCCACTGAACTGTCTCCTCAACCCCCTATTGTGATATTCTTCATGGTCTCACACTTAACATACTCCAGAAGGAGCCCTGTTTTCATACATTCCTGGTTAGTATTGTTTTATTTCACAGGTGAGCTTAAACTCCTTTTATTTTACTTTTTAGGTAATGAAATGCTTCTTCTAAGTATGTGGTTATTAAATAAATAATTTAAAAAATAGGTGATACCTGTGGGGGTTGGGAGTTGGTGACTGCTTTCTGACTGTAAGGAATTATTGTTGTCCTGCCAGCCAACAATTGCTTCCTTTAGTCACTGAACTAAAATGCTTAGGAAGTGCTTCCCTTATTGAGAGTTGTAAAACCTTTATCCCTTACATGTTTTAGAGCCCTGAAATTTTATGCTATATCTCGTATGTAACTGATTGTTTTCTTAATATTATCTTTAAAAATTAATAGGATTGTAAGTTTTTTTCAGTTGACCACAGACTTGCTTTAGTAATGGGCATTTGCTAGCTTATGGAATAGCTAGATTCATTTACAGGTCTTATCTGTGATCCCCAGATGTGTGACACTCAGATGTTGACATTAGGAGCTGCATATGGCTTTTCAGCATAGAAACTTAAGTACACACAGGTATTAGTGGTGAGGTGGCTACATGGCTCTGTGTGTGCATATGCTTAAGTCACTAAAAGTAAAAATCAGCCTGCTTCCTTGGACAAAGATCATATACCAGTATGGAAGGGTTAAAAGGTTTAAATGGGGGCTATTCCCTGCAGGTAAGGGCTCTCCTGGATGGGCTGTATAAAATGCCAGTATGCTTGCTAAGAAAGAGTTTACAGTGCTCCCAGCTGAGGGCAGCAGCCATGGACTTGTTCTTATTTGTGTCCATGGAGCCACGGGACATACACATAGTAGATTAGTGAATAAATGCTACACAAATGAATGATTGAAAAATAATGTGGAGGAAATTACTTTCTATTATTCATTACAAATTTAAATATATTCGGGAATAACCTTCCATAAATAAACACTTTATAAACTAGTAAGGATCATAGTGAAAAACTGTGTTTTATAAAGCATTATGTGGCTGTGCTGAATCCTTTTTGTTCCGAAAAATTTGGTTTGTTGCACTATTATCTGGAATTTTCCATGAATCTATACTCTGGATAGTGAGTTTGCCCATGAACAGTAATGCTGCCTTGTTCTTCCTGAGAGTGGCACTGAGTCAGAGTTGTCCCAAGCATGGTATGGTGAGACTCGTTAGACTGTTGTGCAGTCTTAATAATAATTACCATGGTCTTTAATGATAACAATTCTTAATGAGTATTATTATCATTAATAATGATGATATTTAATAATTATACCCAATACTTATTATCTTTAATAATAATAATTAGCACATGGGAACCAGTTGCACCATTGTATTATCTTTAGAACAAAAATGCATATCTGTGGCCCAGGAGTCTGCAGACTATCTACTCCCACCCTCTGCTTTCCAGATCACAGTGAGTCAGGAGGCGTCTGGGGTCAGGAATAGGGAGGGGCTTCTAGAAACCTCCTATATATTCTGTCTTGGACCCTATTCCCAGACACTCATTTTACAGATGGCTTGTATTTATTATGAAGTGCCTTCCCCAAGACCATTGCACCCTCCTTCCCCTCCCTCTGCCTGTCCATCTATCCTTCGTAACTTTTGTTGTACAAAGAGAAGACCCAGAGCAGATCCTCATTCCATAATGTACTAATTTGTGTGGATTATGTAGGGTAGAGTCCTTGTTTATTACTTGTATGTTGGTAAAACTTTGATCTTCTTCTGTCTTGGCTATGTTTAGGTTTAAATGTCTGTATGACGGTTTTTTGAGAAAAATAAAAGTTTAAAAAATGTTTGGTGAATTAAACATTTTTTTTTAGCTTTTCACACTTTGATACAAAGCAGAGAAATATTTCAGTGACAACAGATTTCAACAGATTTTCAAATAGACTAATTTGCTTTATTCTTTAGGGTAGTTTACGTTTTTTCTCTGCAAACACAAGACAAGTACTCTTTCTAGGGGTAACCAGTATTCATGTGTGAAATAATTCTAAAGAGATAAAGATTTGTATTTAGAATATGTTTCATATTAGTTAAATGTTAGTTAAACTATTTCATGATCTGAGTTTTTCTCAGGCTAACTTGAAATAGTAGCTTGTTTACTGAGATTGGAAAGAAAAGAACCTAGTAGAGGACTTCTTAGTTCCTCTTGGCTTTCCTTTATATTCACATAACATCTCAGGTCTTGAAACCAACCAGGCCTCCCTCCTGGGTATCTTAGAGGTAGAAGTTTTGAAATACATTTCTAGACTAATGCAGAGCTGATCTGGAAACATCAGTGTTACTTAGTAATGATAAAACAATAGACATTAAAGATCTTGGAGTCTCTGTAAGGTCAACTTGACCTGGGCCACATATTAGGGCACCTGTGACTAGTGTAGTCCACTTATCAATGGCTGGAATAGAATGCCTGCTCTCCCCTGCAACCTGTTAGCCCGTAGGACTAACATGCCTGCTCACCCCAAACCATAGCTGATCATAGACAAGTGAGTTTTAGAGCTGTCTCTCCCCTTCTTGTCCTAGTGGCTCAGATTTGCTTTGTAATGCCTGTGTTTTGTTCTTGGATTGTGTCCCCCCAGGTTTGATGATTCCTGTCTTCTGTGTGGTGGAACAGTTGGATGGCTCTCTTGAATATGACAACAGAGAAGAACATGCGGAGTTCGTCTTGGTGCGAAAAGATGTGCTTTTTAGCCAGCTGGTGGAGACAGCACTCCTGGCCCTGGGCTATTCCCACAGCTCTGCAGCTCAGGCCCAAGGTACTCCCATGTTTCCCTGTCCTCCCCAGCCTCCTGTGTGTCATGCTCTGAGGAAGAATAGGTTCCTCCAAACAGTTCCCCAAACAAGGGTTGCAAGACAGTTCTCAGATGCTACATCTAAGCAGTTCTAGAGCAAGCCCTAGAACATGTCTTACAGAGTCGTGTTCTCTTCTGTGAAGGATTTGACCAGTACCTCTAAAGCCACCTGAATGGACTTGCATTTCAAAGCGGTTGTCATAGGTGTTTTTGCATTCATAACTCTGGTATTTCTTCAGCAAATTGCTGTTCTTAGGGCCAGTGCTGAGATGTTTGACTCCTGACTTATCCAAATTTTAGTGCATGATCTACAAGCAAACACTTTTAAAAATTGATTTAATGCCTTGGGCCAATGGCTTTTGCAGTTTATCATCAGTTTTTAATTAAATAGAAAAAAGTAGATGCATCTTATTCTTTTTGTAAGATTGAGAACTGTTCTGTAGTTTTGATATGGTCCATTCATTTTTTTAAAAATCAGAGTTTCTTGATTCCAATCACTCCATTTTACCTATTTAATGAACTACTAATGGTGAATTATTATTTTGGTGTACTTTGTTAAAATATGGAGGAGCTTAACGTGAGTTTTTCATGCATCTCTCTAAAGCATAGCCCATTGTTTTTATGCCGAAGAATCAACAAAACAAATAACAGCAGTGTTCCCCTAAACCTTGAATAATGGAAAAAAAATTGAGCGACTAGAATTATTATCTTTGTTTTTCAGCTGAAATGATTGAATCATGTAGTTTGTGAAAATGGTTGTTGATAAAGGTGAGAAATTTGTAGCATCCAGGCCTTATTTTATATATCAATGTCCTATCTTACTATCTTTGTTTAACGTTTGTGTAGGTCTCAAGAATTCTTGCTATTTCTTGAGTCCCTTATCATGTCATTCCTAAGAAAGATCAGTTAGCCTCAGTGATTCTGATAAGGCAGCAATGAGGGATTAGGTGTTTATACAGAGTTACACATGTAGAGACCAAGGACATGGGACTCAGACTTCTAAGCTCTTCACTCTGAGTCTCTAAGTAGATCATACTATTTAAAAAAATGTTTTTTAAAATTATATCTTAGTTCTATCAGGGGGATCAAGAATGTCTTCCTAGGTGAGGGGTACCCTGTGTACCTGTCCTGTGCACCTCCGTGCCATCCGAACACAGTACTTGTCCAGTATGGGTGTAGTGGTAACAGCTGAACAGTAGAGTCCAATGCTTGCACAGCACCATGATGAAGGGTGACTCATTTCTTTTTCTCAATAACCTTCTTGTGTGAGGGATTCAGGATTTGATCCCCAGAAAATTGTGTAGTGGCCACCATTGCTTTTATTTCATCCTATATGCCTAATAAAATAAAAGAACCCCCTCCCTCCCCCCATAAACTCTCATGCCATTTTAGGGATGTTTTCCTCTAAATGTAAAGGTCATTGTACCCCATGACATGCATCTTGGTGCCAGCTCCCTGTTTGACAGGGCTATCCATCTCAGTTAGCATGGCTGCTCAGTGTGTCGTGAGCTCACATGTGGAACGTGGAGTGCTAAGTGGCCAAGATTTGCTTCTTGGCACATGCTGAGGAACGGGGCTCAGGAAATTTGCACTAGGGAGCTGCTGCAGTGCTTTTCAGTGATGTGGACTGAGAGTTCTGCTCACCAAGGTGAGATCTGCTAGCAGGAATATCATCTGCTATGGAACACTGAACGGGGACACAACAAAGTGATTATTTGCTTTCTCCAAGGTTTTGAAAACTAAGGTTAAAAAATACTACTCATTACATTTTTTTTGTCCATTGAAACAACATATTGAAGGTGCTGTAGATCACAGGTATACTTTATATTGTGGGTAAAGGAGGATTTATCACTGTGTTCTATACTGTAACCTCACAGACTAATAAAAAGAAATAAAATAAAATCAGAGTTTAAAATTTTTTTTTTCTTAAGCAGCTGATCTATTTTAGGTAAATGAAAAAACCAAAATTGTTCATATTCTGAAAAATATATTAGTAGTTTCTTGTCATTCTGACACCTAAATGTTTAAAAACCTCTATTTTGGATAAATGGAAAAACTTAAAATTGCCTGTTTTTTGA